AACCCGCCACCTTAGGTGTATGTGGCTGGCGCCTTAGCCGCTTGAGCCACAGGCGCCGAGCCACCCCTTGAGTCTTAAGACTGCCCAAACCTGGTTATCTGTGAAACCATGCAGGTGGTGCTTAAATGAGTAGGATTCACAGAGCCAAAGTTAGGAGATCAGGTGCATCCTTCACTTGGTGGTTGACCCACCTGAGTTAGCCCAGACATTTCTCAGTGAAACCTTCCAGTCTCCAAGATGTTCCCCGCCACCTTGCAAATCTGTACTTATTATTCTGAGGGTCCTTGGGACTGACCTAGGGACAAGCAAGGACGCCGGGACCCCAGCTAAACTAGCCTCCCAGTCTGGGAGTATGCAGAGGTGCTGAGACCCCTGCTGTGCCATCAGTATAAGCCCCAGCAGTGAGAAGGGACAGCATACTGGCAGATACACTGCCATCAGGATTCCCCCCATTCTGAGCTACCAACCCCAGTGCCCACCTGCTCATTCAGGCCCACATTCACCATCATCATTTCTCCAACCATCTCGATCCAGCTGGTACCGCAGGGGTTGTGAGAGTTGACGCCTCTTCGGAACCATACCTGGAAAAGGCAGAAATAAACATGCCTCCCTGGAGGGCCATGGAAACAGAAGGGATTGTTTTATGACTCAGGAAGAATAAATGAATTTGATCCCTCAGTTCACGGCACAAATGAGTAGGGCACAGGTTTAGAGAGGAAGTGTATGAACATGTCCCTTCTCCCACAATCTAGCTGCATCCCCTTCTGCACTTGGCACCATCCCTTCTTCCCACCCCCAGGGGCTGGGGGGTCACCTAGCGTCAGCCACACTTGTCCTGGCAGCTTCCCACCCATTCTCAGGCCTAATTCATGGAAAAGGCCACTTAATTGAACCACGTTTACCTCTGTGGAAGACAACAGCCTTAATGACGTTATTTAAGAAAACTATTTCTTTAAACTCATTATTGGAATAAGTAACTTATCTTGGGTCTAAGTGCTTCATTAAATAGTTTCTTTAAAGCTAACTTTGTTCATGCCAACTTGTAAAAATATGCAGTCTAACTGTATTTTTCTGAGTCCTATGTGTGGTTCCACTCACCTGCACAGGTTACCCTCCAACCCTCACATCAGTCCCACTATGTTCCCTCAGGGTTCAGGAATCCCCCCTTGATGTGTGGCTACAGAGAAATCACGTGAGGAATCTGGAACCAGCTTCCTTGGATAAAATACAAATGATAAGCAGTGACTAGAAGAAAGGGAGGCATTCAGTTAATTGTGGATTTCAGTAAATTAGCTTCTGATTAATTGAAATGTTACGGCCTATCAAGTGACAAATACAGTGACTGCACCTTGGTATAGGGAAATAGGCTGGGGAAGATTCCATGGTGGCAAACACCCTGGAGATGGGTAATGATTTTAGCAACATAAAAGTGCAGGGGACTCGGTTGAGGCCAGATATGTTGAAAGGGTTCAGATTACACTCACATTAACAAAAAAAACACAGCCTTTGACAGACGAAGCCCTAGCATCCCTGACTTACCTTCCGGTCCTTGGTGACAGCCCAGACCACACCGACTCCCACTGAGACGTGCATAATCCCGTTTTCAGACCCAGGAGGCTCTACCACAGACCAGCAGCTCCCTAGCAAGCCCCAGAGAAACCCCAACAGCCTCCATCAGCCCAGATGCCCAGGAGTGAGCACCCCCTTCCCCTAGTTGGGGTAGGGGCCGACCCTGGGTTGCCCACCTGTGGGGTTGTTTCTGTTGATTCCTTCTCGGACCAGAGCCTGCCCCTCCCACAGAGTGGCCCATAGGAGGTCATGGGGCCCACAGCTGATCTGGACCACCTCCCCAGGGGTGTCCATGAGAGACCAGGATGAGCCTTCAGGGTTCGAGTGGCTGACATCCTCTCTGTACCACACCTGCAAGGTGAGAAAAGGGCATGGGTGGCACTTGGGTCACAATCCACACAGGCCATGCATGGGGATTCTTGCGAGGGCTGGAGTACCCTAACTATCCAGGACTCATCCCCAATCCCTCCACTGCCATCAGAGTTAGATGACACTCCTGCTCTGGCAAAAAAAATGCAAAAAAGGGGGCTTTGGGATTCAGCAGTGGGGAGATAGACTTGTTCTGTTCATCTGCTTGTGAGAACCCCCTCACCCTACAGGAACAGGTCCCCAGGCCACTCCCAGCCAGCCCGTGCATCCTGCGCCCCCTGGTGGTGATGTGCTCTCAGGAACCGCATCTCCAGAAGAAAATGGCTAAATGGGTTCAAGGAGGCTAAATGGGGAAACTCCCAAACCCTGTTCACACAAATGACTAAAATGTCTAGTTCTTTTTCTCCCTAACTAAACAGTTAAGACTAAGAAACTTGCTCACATCATACAAACTGTTCGGCTCATTTTATCTGGAGGAAGCTGCACATCACTTTGGGTCGGAGGAGGGCTGGGAGTGGTCTGCAGACTGGAAAACCCTGACCTCTAATCCTGGTGCCCTACCCTACAACTGGCCCTGCAGGACCAGGCCAGGGAAACCTTCAGTGCCCGTTTCTCCCTAGCTCCCACGGGAGCCTCTGGTCTTGGTCTCATCTCTCATGGACCACGGGCATGGCACAGGGCAGTGTGGCACACAGCTGGCACTCAGGGGCAGACACCGTTCTGTGGTCCCTGTTCTCCCCTCTCTTCCCATCCAGGTGGGCATGGCCCCTTGATAGGGGCTCTTTCCTGGACCAGTTCCCTCACTCTGTCTGCCCCCCACCACCACCCTGCAGCATGGCTTGGAGGAAGTAACTGTGATAAACCTAAGCTTGGACAAAAAATGACCCAGAGCTGAGCATGCTAAAAAAAAAAACAAACCCTGCTTTGACTGTTCCAAAGCCAACTGGAGAACTGTGGTCAATCTGTGGTAAAAGTTACTGAATAATCATAAAGTTCAATTTAAAACTGACTAAAGTATTGGTTCACCTGTGCTCTGTGCCACTGCTACCATCGGGTTGGTCTTATTTCTTTGCTTAGTTCACAAACTCCCTGAGATGAGGATCTCCCCTCTTTAAGGATCCATAGACCCACCATCCAGCCCTCACCCACCCACCTACCACTTATCCAGGAGATGTTGAGGGAGGTGCCATGGGAGCTGGCAGGGAGCTCAGGAGTGCTCTTGAGGTAGGAGCGCTAACGGCACCTGAGCTCAGGGTGGTCCCTGACAGTACACTGGGGACTCAGAGGAGGGACAGGTTGGATGAGGCACAGGTGGGGGACATAGGCTTCTGAGAAGTGCAAGACCCAGGGCCCATGAGATAGATTCCCAGGGGAGGAGAACGTCTCAAAGGCAGCTCTTGCCCTTCCTCCACCTCCAGGAGGATGCCGGTTCAGCTTCTCTTATGCCCTGGCCCTGCCTGTGGCCAGCTCCCATAGCCACCTTGGCCTGGGGCAGGGTGTGGCCTCACCTTTCCCTGCAGAGACACAGCCCACACTGACAGGCGGCCTGTGGGCTCCTCTGTGATCTCCCATCCTCCCACGGAGAGGTCGTTGAAGGGGTCAGGAAGCTGCTTGGGGTCATCCTTTGAGGGGATCTGAAACATGGGGTCAGAAAATAGTGGTGGTCAGTACTTGGCATGACCCCTCCCTGCTTGTCTCCCCTCCAGCCTCCTCCACCCAGCTTAGGCCATAGCTCTTGACGTCACAGAGAAGGCAGCATCAGAACTGTAGGTTCTTAGCCCAAGGTCCCCTCTGTCCTATCCTCTCTATCAGCTGCTGGATCTGGGCCACTGCCCCTGAATGGTCACTGATGCTCCTGTATGGAAGGCAGACCCACCACAGTACCTTAGCTTTGGGCTTCCCAGTGACCTGACCACTGTGACTTTGTTCCCCACCACAGAACAGGGCTGATGACAGATTATGGCCCTACCATTGACTGGCATCCTGCTATCCCAGTCCTGTGATAGCCAAGATGGAGCCAGCAGCCCCACATCACAGCCATGGACTCTCTAGAGAGGTCTGGAAAGTGCCAGACTCTTTAGATAGTCCATGAAAGGACCCTGGTCTGGGCCTCTCCCAAGTTGAGAGGTTCTTCTGGGTCATGAGAACAATATTAGCCCCTTGGTGAGAGTAGGGAAGATGAAGCACCAGACTGAGGCTCAGCCCAAGACAGAGCAGCTCGGAGACCTGGATCACAGCAAGTTCTGTGCCACCCCATGGCCAAAGTCTTGCTTGATTCCCTGAGGGCCATCTCCCAAATGAAGAGACACATAGCATTGTGCTGTTCCCAGGGCAGGAAACAACTCAGAGGCCAGGCCCCAGGGAGAGCATGGTGTCCCTTTGTGCACAGGCAGGAGAGATGGGGATGAGGCTTCATGTGACTCTCCTGCCAGGCACTGTTAGTGGCAGACCCCTCTCTGTGTTGGTTCTATCTGGCCTCCACACCACACTTAGGTACTGAGACCTTGGCCCAGGCATCCCGGGACTTGTATCTCCTATACCGGATCCACTTCCGTCTTCGCACACAAGAATTCCACTTCTTGTCACGTGTGTAGGTGGCAGGAAAGTCGATGGCATATGTCCATCCCTGAAACGTCAAGGTAGAGAGGGAAGAACATCAAGACTCTAGGGGGAAGGAATCTGAAGAGCTGGGGGAGGTGGGTTGGAAGACTAGGAAGAGGAGGGAGTGAGCCAACATGGAAGACCCCAACCCCCATCACGTCACAGCAAGCAAAGGTCAGACACCCTGGACAGCAGCATGACAGGACAGATGAACCAAAGAATCTCCTACCAAGGGCAGTCATAGTGGGTACTGAGTTCACCTACCCCTTTCTCAGTGGGTTCTCCTCCAAAGTTCTCATCCACGTACCAGTCAGACTCCCACTCCCAGTGCGGTGAGGGCAGTGCTACCCCATCCAGCGGCCGGTGCTGGAGCCCACTCACATCGCTCCACGGCCACCGGTCACTGAGCAGGAGTTTTTCACAGAAGCCGCCCATGGGGTTCCAGCGCTGAGGGCCAGGGAAACAGAGACAACCTTGGACCCAAGCCTGCCAGGAGGGTCCCAGGGCCTCTCTGGGGTCAGAAGACCCTGCCCTTAGTCCTCCTTGCTAATCTTCAGGATGGGAGTTAAACAGAGGTCCGCTTAGGATCCAGAGATTAGGGACCCCAGGCTTCTTCATTATGGCAAGCACACCCGCATGGCTCCAATGGGCAGAGGACCCACCTGCCAGCCATAGTGCTCCCTGGGGGCAGGCAGAGGAGGAAGACCTCATCCTAGACTCCTGAATACTTCCTGAAGCCTGCCCTTATGCCAGCAGGCTTTCCTAAGGACACATAAGGGCTCCAGCCCCACACATCCCATGTGCCACACAACTCGGATTTAAGTACAATGAAGGAGATTCATGTGGGACTTGGTGGAGAGTCTGGGGGTGTCTCTTTCTTCTTCTTTTTTTTCCAAGACTGAGTCTCACTCTGTTGCCCAGGCTACAGTAACATGGCATTAGCCTAGCTTGCAGCAACTTCAGACTCCTGGGTTCAAGCAATTCTTCTGTCTTAGCCCTCCAAGTAGCTGGAACTATAGGTGCCTGTCACAATGCCTAACCAATTTTTCTATATTTTTGGTAGAGATAGGAATCTCTCTCTCTCTCTCTCTCTTTTTTTTAAAAGACAGAGTCTCACTCTGTTGCCCTGGGTAGAGTGTCACGGCATCATCATAGCTCATAGCAACCTCAAACTTTTGGGTTTGAGCAATCCTCTTGCCTCAGCCTCCTGGGTAGCTGAGACTACAGGTACCTGCCACAGTGCCCAGAGAGTTTTTCTATTTTTAGTAGAGACAGGGTCTCCCTCTTGCTGAGGCTGGTCTCAAATTCCTGAGCCCAAGGGATCCATCAGCCTTGGCCTCCCAGAGTGCCGGGATTACAGGTATGAGCCACCATGCCCGGCCTGGAGCCTCTATTTCTCTACTGCTGTCCATCACATTTGTTAACCAATAACCCAGCAAACCCACCAAATCAGCAACTCCAAATACACAAGGCTACCTGGTTCTCGTAGGCCTCCTCCCGGCGGCGGATGGGGACATCGCTGGCGCACACGTACACGTATACCTGGTTGTCACAGGCGATGCCCCAGCAGCATTGTGTGGCTGAGCTGACCCGCTTGAACTCCAGCTGGCCATCCTTGCATGGCTCCCAGTACTGGCCGGCTGTGGAAAGTGTGTACACTCTCCCAAAGAGGTCCACCGCCCACAGCACAGAGTTGGGCATGGCGTCGGCTGTAAGAACACTGGTAGCAGGAGGGTGAGCGTCAGAATCCTGGCTCCCAGCCCAGAGGACATCAGGGCCAGGTGGGTGTAACTGTCTCATGACTGTCTCATGGCAAAATGAAGTCCAATGAGGGGGGTGAATAGTTACCCCACAAATTAGAAGCAGGCCCTGACTTTTGGTGTACCTTCTTTTTTCTTTGCCTTTCCTTCCCTCTAATTATGGGGATTTTTTTCAAACATACAGAAAAGTACAGGGGGAAAAAATAACATCTAAGTACTTCCCCAAATTTAATATTATTATTCTGTTGTATTTCCTTATGATCTTTCTTTCAAAAGAATAAGTGGGTTCAGCACCCATAGCACAGTGGTTGTGGCACTGGCCACATACACTGAGGCTGGCAGGTTTGAACCTGGCCTGGGCCAGCTAAGCAACAATGACAACTGCAACAAAAAATAGCCGAGAGTTATGGCAGGTGTCTATAGTCTCAGCTACTTGGGAAGCTGAGGCAAGAGAATCGCTTGAGCCCAGGATTTTGAGGATGCTGTGAGCTGTGATGCCATGGTACTCTACCAAGGGCAACATAATGAGACTCTGTCTCAAAAAAAAAAAAAAAAAAGAATAAATGAAACCTTACAGATTTAGTCAAGTCTCAATACATACAATTGTCCTGCTGCTTCCCCAGGGAGGACAGGTCTCTTCCCCTGTGCTGGCCCCTATCTGACAGGCCAGGCATCCCAGTCACAGTCTTGTATGATCCTGTAGGAGCTGTGTGACCATATGAATTCAAGGACATGAGGGTCCTCTCTTCATCCTCCCTAAGTGCCTTCTTATCTTCCCCATTTCTCTCCTTCTGCCATTCTCTACTCCTTTCTTTTTTCTCTCATCTTTCTTTGTGCTTTGTAGGGGTGATCCAGGTTGCTGCTAAGCTCTGCCACTGACTGCCCCCCGCCCTCAGTGCTCCTTGGGGTTGTCACTTCTGGGCCCCTGGCTTCAGGTAGAAACAAGCTTCCCACCAAGGCAGGGCCAAATGGCCAGCAACAAGGCAGCCAAACACAGAGTGGCGAGAGGGCAATCACAATGAAAAGCTCTGCCTGACAAGGTGGCTCCTAGAATACTGACCTGGAGCCAAAAGAGAGGAAAGAGCCTAAGGATGAGGGTGTGCAGTCTGGTTTGAAAACAGGAGATGCCAGGAGACAGTTTATTTAGGTGCCTGAAGGCTGGGGCCAGAGGCACGTGGGCTCTGCAGAAGGCAGTTGTAATGACAGCAGGAGATGGAACATATCTGAAGAGAGGAGCATCTGCCACAGGCAAATTAGGCTCTTTTGGGACAAAGTGTACATTATAAACACCACGAAGAAAGAGTGCAGGTTGAGAGGGAAGCCATGGAAGGGATAAGGAATAGGATGGCGGGAAACAGAGCAGAAGCCAAGCTTTGGGGAAGACCCACAATAAGAGGTAGAAAGAAAGAACAGGAGGGAGAGTGACCAGCAGGAATGGGGCAAGCACAAGAAGAAAGCCCCTCATAGAAGAGGTGACCTCCTGAACCCCAGGGGTACTAGTACCTGCCAAACATATAGGAAAAATAGAATTCCAGTCTTCTGGAGGCATTTGGAAACCAGCATCTGCATCCAGGTGTCTGAGTTGGGACCCCTGGCAACTCCCAGCTACCTCCCTATTCCTCTCTGGTCAGGCCTGCGGGTCCCTCTGGCATCTTGATAGTGACTAAGAGTGCCCAAGCCAGACTTGGACTCAGACTGCAAGAATTAAGGTCCTAACACCACCAAAAGCTAACTAACCTCTCTGTGCCTGATTTCCTAATCTATAAAAGGCAGAAAGAAATTGTGACATACCTAATTGTTGTGAGAATTAAATGAGATAATATAGGCACAGAGTTGGGTTTTTTGGTTTTTATTTATTTACTTATTTATTTATTTATTTTTGAGACAGTCTCACTTGTCATCCTTGGTAGAGTACCGTGGCATCACAGCTCACAGCAACCTCAAACTCTGGGTTCAAATGATTCTCTTGTCCCAGCCTACTGAGTAGCTGGGACTACAGGCGCCTGCTTCAACACTCAGCTATTTTTACAGACAGGGTCTCGCTGTTCCTCAGACTGGTCTTGAACCTGTGTGAGCTTAGGCAATCCACCCACCTTGGCCTCTCAGAGTGCTAGGATTACAGGCGTGAGCCACCATGCCCAGCCAGGCACAAAGCTTTTAAAAAACAGTGTTCAGTAGCCAGCAAGAACTCAATGAGTGTTATTGATGTCACTTGGCATTTTCACTCAGCATTATTTACTTTTTACTTGGCATTTGTTACCTCAAACTGCCATTTATTTTCCAAATCTTAAAAAATTTCCAAAACTAGGGCAGCGCCTGTGGCTCAAAGGAGTAGGGTGCCGGCCCCATATACTGGAGATGGTGGGTTCAAACCCAGCCCTGGCCAAAATCTGCAAAAAAAAATTTTTTTTCCCAAAATTCAAGTCTCTTTCTAGTTAGCCTTTCCTCACAACAATGCTCTACACACAGTAGATGTTGAAGCAATATTTAAGGATAATCACCACCACACATACTCAACATACTGCCAACTCTCTGATCTAAGGCAGAAATACTGCTCCAGGGAAGCAAAATGTCATAAATTACTTTTAAGCAAAGTCATAATTGACATAATTGGTGGATAGATACTTGATAAACCGAGTATAGTGAAGTATCAATAGTGATACCCTGGTAGTGGATATGGAGGTGTTCACCATATAATTCTTTCTTCTGGGCTGTACATTTGAAACTCTTCAATAAAATGTTGAGGGGAAAATAGGGTGTTTTGGCTCAGTGCCCATAGCTCAGTGGTTAGGGCATCAGCCACATACACCAGGGCTGGAGGGTTCAAACCTGGCCCAGGCCTGCTAAGAACAATGACAACTACAAAAAAAAAAAAAAATAGCTGGGCATTGTGGCAGGCACCTGAAGTCCCAGCTACTAGGGAGACTGAGGCCAGAAAATCCCTTAAACCCAACAGCTTGAGGTTCCTGTGAGCTAGGATACCATAGCACTCTATCGAGGGCAACATAATGAGACTCTCTCAAAAGAAAGAAAATAGGGTTTTTTGTTTGTTTGTTTTTGTTTGGTAAAAGGTAGGTTTCTGTAGTGTCATTTTAATATAAGTTGGTCTTGAAAGATAGCTCACAATTTGCTGTATAAGCAACTAATTTAGTTAGGCTCAGTTTGCAGGTTGAGCTTAATGAGTGGAGACTTTGACTTGTATTTAATACATTTTCTTCAAAGAAATCACTTAGCAGTAATTTCCTTGCAGACATATTTGAATCTTCTGGGCAGTTAACAGAAGACTCTACTGCAGGGAAAGAATGGGGGGGCGGTGTTTACAAACTTCCTTCAAAGTAAAGACCCAGGCACCCGTCACTTTGCAGCTAAAGGTGACATGAGGGAAACATCCTTGGTCAGACACATCTTTCTGCCTCTGACAGGATGCTGCCCCCTTCTCTTGTCCCACCACTTCCTGGCTATGAACTTGATCAGGCAACCTGTCCAGGTTCAGTGGGTCAGAAGAATCTTAAAACGGAGGTTGGAGCACTAAATCCCATGTTTCTGGCATCCTAGGATTTCTTTGTTTTGTAGGAGTAAAGGGATGGGGGGGACATCTTCCAAATAAACAACCTCTAATTCACCAAGAATATCTACACAAAATAAATTTGAGTTGACTCTTCAGTCATTCTTCTAAGAAGGCCTACTCACCGCCCTCAAAGCCATCTACCTTTCTGCATCAGTTTACCAACAGATCCTTTCAGGCTCAACGCCCATAGCACAGTGGCTACGGCGCCAACCACAGACACTGAGGCTGGCAGAATCAAACCTGGCCCAGATCTGCTAAAAAACAATGACAACTGCAACAAAAAATAGCCGGGCATTATGGCTGGCACCTGTAGTCCCAGCTACTTGGGAGGCTAAGGCAAGAGAATACCTTGAGCCCAAGAGCTTGAGGTTGCTGTAAACTGTGATGCCATGGTACTCTACCGAGGGCAACATAGTGAAATTCTGTCTCAAAAACAAACAAACAAACAAACAAACAAAACAGATCCTTTCAGATACCAAAAGTGCCCAAGAGAAGGCGGGGGAGGGATGTGGTAGGAGGGACACAGTAACAAGGAAGCTCCCAAAGCACTTCCTTTGAGTTGGCATTAAGTGTTCTTCCTAAAGTTTTCTTGTTTGTTTTTCTATCACACTGTCACACCCACCCAGTGTGCAAGCAGAGAGAGCACTCCCTACAAAGGTGGCTTGCTGGCTTTCAAGTGCAGAGTCTGTTCAAAAGCAGTATCAGGGTCCAAAGAGGTGAGAGGAAACAGCAGAACTTGCATGGTAGTTCAGTTGTTCCTTAAGAACAGGGTCCTCCCAGCCCCACCGGGCAGGAGGTACCCTGAGTCAGCTTGGGTTTCGTCCCAATTCTGTGCACTTGGGTGACAGGTGGGCCCCCTGCATCGCCATCCGTAGCATATGCTGGAGCCAGAGCTCTGGCCCTGACCATCTGCCCACACTAATCCCAAGACAAGAAGATTTGCTCCTATCAACGCCCAGGAAAAGGGCTAGGCAGGCCCCTTGCAGCTCCATTCACTGAAATAACCAAGCTCCAGCCACCCGCTTCTCAAATCACTCCAGTCCAAAGGGTGTAGGGGGCATCCCCTGAACCCAGCCACTAGGCTAGCCTGTGGGCAGATCTGGGCGGGGACGGGGGCGGCGCCCTCCAAGAGCGCAGGAAAGAGGACAAGTACAGTCCCTCTTCCCTCCCTCCCAACAAGTGTCCAGGAGAACGCAGTCGGGCTTAGAGGGACGAGATGCCGCCGCCCTCCGCCGCCCCGATCTTTTCCACGGCCCTGCCGGCTGCTGCACCGGGGCCGCCGCGATGGACTCACCTGGGCCCGCGCCCGGCAGGGCGGAGTCGCAGCGATTGCTCCTCTGCCGCGGGGCAGGCAAGACCTGCCCGCCCACGGCCCAGGGCAAGAGGGCGGGCCGGAAGCCGCAGCAGGCCGGCGCCTATTTGCTGACCTCGCCGTGACGCAACGGCCTGGGGCGTGCGATTGGCTGAGGCGCGGTGCAGCAGCGTGGCGCCCACGCCCACATCCGGGGTCGTGTCAGGTGGGTGAACTGGGGATGGGGAACAAGTTTCCTGTGGTTTCTCTGGGCAAAGCCCGCAGAGAGTCTGCTACCCCCCAGCCCGGCC